TGAGTCTCTGTCTGTCTCTGTTGGTGTCTCTATGAGTCTCTGTGTGTCTCTATTGGTGTCTCTATGAGTCTCTGTGTGTCTCTATTGGTGTCTCTATGAGTCTCTGTGTGTCTCTATTGGTGTCTCTATGAGTCTCTGTGTGTCTCTATTGGTGTCTCTATGAGTCTCTGTGTGTCTCTATTGGTGTCTCTATGAGTCTCTGTGTATCTCTATTGGTGTCTCTATGAGTCTCTGTGTGTCTCTATTGGTGTCTCTATGAGTCTCTGTGTGTCTCTATTGGTGTCTCTATGAGTCTCTGTGTGTCTCTATTGGTGTCTCTATGAGTCTCTGTGTGTCTCTCGTGGTGTCTCTATGAGTCTGTGTGTCTCTATTGGTGTCTCTATGAGTCTGTGTGTCTCTATTGGTGTCTCTATGAGTCTCTGTGTGTCTCTATTTGTGTCTCTATGAGTCTGTGTGTCTCTATTGGTGACTCTATGAGTCTCTGTGTGTCTCTATTGGCGTCTCTATGAGTCTGTGTGTCTCTATTGGTGACTCTATGAGTCTCTGTGTGTCTCTGTTGGTGTCTCTATGAGTCCCTGTGTGTCTCTATTGGTGTCTCTATGAGTCTCTGTGTGTCTCTATTGGTGTCTCTATGAGTCTGTGTGTCTCTATTGGTGACTCTATGAGTCTCTGTGTGTCTCTATTGGCGTCTCTATGAGTCTGTGTGTCTCTAGTGGTGACTCTATGAGTCTCTGTGTGTCTCTGTTGGTGTCTCTATGAGTCTCTGTGTGTCTCTATTGGTGTCTCTATGAGTCTGTGTGTCTCTATTGGTGTCTCTATGAGTCTGTGTGTCTCTATTGGTGACTCTATGAGTCTCTGTCTGTCTCTGTTGGTGTCTCTATGAGTCTCTGTGTGTCTCTATTGGTGTCTCTATGAGTCTCTGTGTGTCTCTATTGGTGTCTCTGTGTGTCTCTATTGTTGTCTCTATGAATCTCTGTGTGTCTCTATTGGTGTCTTTATGAGTCTCTGTGTGTCTCTATTGGTGTCTCTATGAGTCTGTGTGTCTCTATTGGTGTCTTTATGAGTCTCTGTGTGTCTCTATTGGTGTCTCTATGAGTCTCTATGAGTCTCTGTCTCTATTGGTGTCTCTATGAGTCTCTGTGTGTCTCTATTGGTGTCTCTATGAGTCTCTGTGTGTCTCTATTGGTGTCTCTATGAGTCTCTGTGTATCTCTATTGGTGTCTCTATGAGTCTCTGTGTGTCTCTATTGGTGTCTCTATGAGTCTCTGTGTGTCTCTATTGGTGTCTCTATGAGTCTGTGTGTCTCTGTTGGTGTCTCTATGAGTCTCTGTCTGTCTCTGTTGGTGTCTCTATGAGTCTCTGTGTGTCTCTATTGGTGTCTCTATGAGTCTCTGTGTGTCTCTATTGGCGTCTCTATGAGTCTCTGTGTGTCTCTATTGGTGTCTCTATGAGTCTCTATTGGTGTCTTTATGAGTCTCTGTGTATCTCTATTGGTGTCCCTATGAGTCTCTGTGTGTCTCTATTGGTATCTCTATGAATCTCTGTGTATCTCTATTGGCGTTTCTATGAGTCTCTGTGTGTCTCTATTGGTGTCTTTATGAGTCTCTGTGTGTCTCCATTGGTGTCTCTATGAGTCTCTGTGTGTCTCTATTGGTGTCTCTATGAGTCTCTGTGTGTCTCTATTGGTGTCTCTATGAGTCTCTGTGTGTCTATATTGGTGTCTCTATGAGTCTCTGTGTATCTCCATTGGTGTCTCTATGAGTCTCTGTGTGTCTCTATTGGTGTCTCTATGAGTCTCTGTGTGTCTCTATTGGTGTCTCTATGAGTCTCTGTGTGTCTCTATTGGTGTCTCTATGAGTCTCTGTGTGTCTCTATTGGTGTCTCTATGAGTCTCTGTGTGTCTCTATTGGTGTTTCTATGAGTCTCTGTGTGTCTCTATTGGTGTCTCTATGAGTCTCTGTGTGTCTCTATTGGTGTCTCTATGAGTCTCTGTGTATCTCTATTGGTGTCTCTATGAGTCACTGTGTATCTCTATTGGTGTCTCTATGAGTCTCTGTGTGTCTCTCTTGGTGTCTCTATGAGTCACTGTGTATCTCTATTGGTGTCTCTATGAGTCTCTGTGTGTCTCTATTGGTGTTTCTATGAGTCTCTGTGTCTCTATTGGTGTCTCTATGAGTCACTGCGTATCTCTATTGGTGTCTCTATGAGTCTCTGTGTGTCTCTATTGGTGTTTCTATGAGTCTCTGTGTGTCTCTATTGGTGTCTCTATGAGTCACTGCGTATCTCTATTGGTGTCTCTATGAGTCTCTGTGTGTCTCTATTGGTGTTTCTATGAGTCTCTGTGTGTCTCTATTGGTGTCTCTATGAGTCTCTGTGTGTCTCTATTGGTGTCTCTATGAGTCTCTGTGTGTCTCTATTGGTGTCTCTATGAGTCTCTGTGTGTCTCTATTGGTGTCTCTATGAGTCTCTGTGTGTCTCTATTGGTGTCTCTATGAGTCTCTGTGTGTCTATATTGGTGTCTCTATGAGTCTTTGTGTATCTCTATTGGTGTCTCTATGAGTCTCTGTGTCTCTCTCTTGGTGTCTCTATGAGTCTCTGTGCATCTCTATTGGTGTCTCTATGAGTCTCTGTGTGTCTCTATTGGTGTCTCTATGAGTCTCTGTGTGTCTCTATTGGTGTCTCTATGAGTTGCTGTGTATCTCTATTGGTGTCTCTATGAGTCTCTGTGTGTCTCTATTGGTGTCTCTATGAGTCTCTGTGTATCTCTAGTGGTGTCTCTGTGTGTCTCTGTGTGTCTCTATGAGTCTCCATGGGTCTCTATGTATCTCTATGTATCTCTATGGGTTTCTATGTATCTATATGTGTCTCTATGGGTCTCTATGTATCTCCATGTGTCTCTATGGGTCTCTATGTGTCTCTATGCATCTCTATGTATCTCTGTGAGTCTCTGTGGGTGTCTCTATGGGTCTCTATGTATCTCCATGTGTCTTTATGGGTCTCTATGTATCTCTATGGGTCTCTATGTGTCTCTATGGGTCTCCATGTGTCTCTATGGGTCTCTATGTTTCTCTATGGGTCTCTATGTATCTCTATGTATCTTCATGTGTCTCTATGGGTCTCCATGTATCTCTATGGGTCTCTATAAATCTCTATGGGTCTCTATGTATCTCTATGGGTCTCTATGTATCTTTATGGATCTTCATGTATCTCTATGTATCTCTGAGTCTCTATGTATATCTATGGGTCTACATGTATCTTTATGGGTCTCTATGTATCTCTATGGGTCTCTCAGTATCTCTATGGGTCTCCATGTATCTCTATGTATCTCTATGCGTCTCTATGTATATCTATGGGTCTCTGTGTATCTCTATGGGTCTCCATGTATCTCTATGTATCTCTATGCGTCTCTATGTATCTCTATGCGTCTCTATGTATCTCTATGGGTCTCCATGTATCTCTATGTATCTCTATGGGTCTCTATGTATATCTATGGGTCTCTGTGTATCTCTATTTATATCTATGGGTCTCTGTGTATCTCTATGTATCTCTATGAGTCTCTATGGGTCTCCATGTATCTCTATGTATATCTATGGGTATCTGTGTATATCTATGGGTCTCTGTGTATCTCTATGGGTCTATATGTATCTCTATGGGTCTCTGTATCTCTATGGGTCTCTAAGGGTTCACTGTGCGGACCACCGCCGCTGCGGCTGAGTCTTTAACGTCCCATTCGTGACGGAGTTTGCGGCGCAGCAGCATCGGCACGGTGGTGGCGATTCTCTGGTGGCGATGGCACCACCGCAATGAGATGGGGCGGTGAGAACGCGGTTAAGAAGGGGCAGCAATTAAATAAGACAACGGGACGCTTAGCTGCGAACCCCTTATCAGTGCCCTACCTTGTTACAGACCAATTCAGACATTATTGGTCACCCCGTGCCCCTTATAAATCTCAGCGTTCATCCTACAAAGTCCCATCAGAAGGGAGAAACACAAATACATAAATGTATATATTGTTATGCCCGTATTTAAACGGCTCTAGGCTGTACGGACCTGAAAACTCAATTTCCCTGCACAAGAATTCGGGAAAACCGTATGAGTTGACAGGTATGGCATCGTGTAGTGCATAGTGTAGTGTACAGTAGTGTATCGTGTCGTGTATAGTGTAGCGTATAGTAGTGTAGTGTATAGTAATGTATCGTGTAGTGTATAGTGTAGTGTATAGTAGTGTAGTGTATAGTAATGTATCGTGTAGTGTATAGTTGTGTAGTGTATAGTGTAGTATATAGTAGTGTAGTGTATAGTAGTGTATAGTGTAGTGTATAATGTAGTGTATAGCGTATAGCATGCCTGTCAACCCCTTATCAGTGCCCTACCTTGTCACAGACCAACTCAGACCGTACTGGTCACCCCGTGCCCCTTATAAATCTCAACGCTCATCCTACAAAGTCACCATCACAAGGGAGAAACACAAACACATAGACACCACATTTCTTAGCTGTTACCCGCATTGAAACGGCTCTACGCCGCATGGCCCTGAAAACTCCATGCCCCTGTACGATAATTCGGCGTGTGCCGTGAATGGGTTGACACGCACGGCGTGGGGATGGATGACGTGAGATGACGTGGGATGACTTCGAAGTGACGCAAGTGACAAGGCGTGGATGGGGAGGAACCAGGGAACGACTCACTCGAGGGGGCTCTGACCGATGGGGCGTCCCCCCCACTCCAAGGGTTGACCCCGGTGGCGCTTGACCCCGCGGGAGACGTGGCCACCTCCCCCGCGTCCAAGGGCAGCAGCAGCAGCAGGAGGAGGAGGAGGAGGAGCGGCGGCGGCCGTCGTGGAGGCTCCGGGGGGGTAGCCACGGGGATTGGGGGGGCGTGGGGGGGCGGCCACTTGGGTGGAGGCGCCGCGGCGGGCGACGCGGGCAGTGAGGGGCTACGGGAGGGAGACGCGAGCAGTGGGGGGCTACGGGAGGGCGACGCGGGCAGTGGGGGGCTACGGGAGGGAGACGCGGCTGGGGGGTTGCGGCTAAACGGCGTCTTCACCGTGGAACGGTGGGAAGGGGCCAGAGTGCCCGTGGCATTGTTGGAAGAGGGCAGCTTTACCGTGGCATTGTGGGAAGAGGGCAGCTCTACCGTGGCATTGTGCGAAGGGGGCAGCTTTAACGTGACATTGTGGGAAGAGGGCAGCTCTACCGTGGCATTGTGCGAAGAGGGCAGCTCTACCGTGGCATTGTGGGAAGGGGGCAGCTCTACCGTGGCATTGTGGGAAGTGGGCAGCTTTAACGTTGCATTGTGGGAAGAGGGCAGCTGTAACGTTGCATTGTGGGAAGAGGGCAGCTCTACCGTGGCATTGTGGGAAGTGGGCAGCTTTAACGTGGCATTGTGGGAAGAGGGCAGCTCTACCGTGGCATTGTGCGAAGAGGGCAACTTTACCGTGGCATTGTGGGACAGGTGGAGCGTGTCCTTGTGGGAAGAGGGCAGCACGGTGGCTGTGACATTGTGGGCAGGGGGGGCTGTGGTGGTCCCTGCACGAGTGACGAGTGAAGGCCTCGACTCGCTCTGCCTGCAGTTCTGTCAACAAAGACAAAGATCCCCCGCATCGCCTCTTAACAGATTGTTGGGGCAAGTGCTGTTAGCGAGTAGGACTCATGAAGGCCGGCACGGCACATGAGGGGGTGTAGTGGCCAGCGCCACTCCCGGCCGCCTTTGCCTCCCGAGGTACTCATTTGAGGCCGAGTCGACCTAGGGGAGGGCCCAGGGCCGCTTCAGAACCATCGGGCCGCCGGATTCGTAGCGCAGCACAGCGCAAACCCCTTCCACTTCGGCTGGCTCTGGGCCCAGATTCTCCTCGACAGATCTACCCCCCGCCAATTTCCCATGGGCGTCAAGAGGCGGTACAGCAAACAAAAATGTGGACTCCACCTGTCCCGTCTGCACGGGATAGAGCGTTGCCCCCTCGCTCGCACCAGTGTGTGTGTGGTTTTTTTCTCTTTCTCTGGGTGCTCCGGTTTCCTCCCAAACGTATAAACTCATCATCATCATCATCTCATTGGTCAATATGACACCTTCATATGAAAGAGGACTCGCAGAGCGTGGGCAATTGGTGGTGCTGGGTTTTATCGCATTGCTGCTGCATTCACACGGCCGTGGGTCCTTCTGACGCCTCCGAGTCAACCTTTCTCTCTCTCTCTGAGTCATCCTCTCTCTCTCTCTGAGTCATCCTCTCTCTCTCTTAGAGTCATCCTCTCTCTCTCTCTCCGAGAGTGACTAAACAGCGTGCGCGGCGAGCGTAGGGGGGGGGGGGGAAGGGCATCGTTACAAGTCGACATTCTCTCTCCCATCCACCGTCATTCAATTGTCGCTTGTCGCACGGCGGCGTCGTGTCGGCTCGTGAGACGCCTATGGTCGCGGAGGACCTCGACTTCGGCGTTCCCCTCGTCGTAGGACTCAACACGGCAGAGGGGCCACGGCGGGTGAAAGCCGACCCGGGCCGACCATCGACCAATAATTCATGGAGAGGAGAGGAGGGGAGGGGGGGGTCTCTTTCCACTCTCGTGTTACCGCGCTCGCAGCCCGTGCCCCATCCCAGCACCGCGGTGCCACAGCAGCGCCGACATCCGAGCCCCTGGCACCCACGCCAGCTTTTCATTTTTATTTAAGTTTTCATTTATTTTGGTATAGCCCTGTGAGCCATTCGGCTCTTGAATCGTCACGTGCAACCGCAACAAGCAAAAAAAACATTAATATGAAAAATACCTTAAAGTGACTTTACGTGACTTTGCGCGAACAGAAAATCCAGGAAAAAACAGCAAAATATTCCTGGAAAAAGCACCGTGTACACCAACGCTGTGTGCAAAAATCCCAGTGGGATGCAAGTCAAACAACAACAACAACCACAAGACAACTTAGATTAAGGCCATCAGTCTAACTCCGTACTACAACAATCAAACATGGCCAAACCAAAAAAAAAGCCACAAGGGGCTTCGCTTGGCCGCGCCCTGCCCGCCCGCCCGGCCACCGCGGCCGCGTCCTCCGACCTGGCACCACGGGCTCAGCCATCACCACCAGCAGCAGCAACACCAGCAGCACTACCGGGTCAACGGGGGTTCAGCCCCAAGCACCAGGCCCACATTTCGGGCCCACCAGCCCTCATCCACCCATGCAGGAATGTTTAGGCCAGCCCCTTACTGTCAAAACCCACCACAATAACCACCCAGGATCATCGGCCCCACCACCAAACCCACGGGCAGCCCCACCACCAACCCCATGGGCAGCCTCACCACCAATTCCACTACAGCCCTACCACCAATCCCACGGTCGGTCCCACCACCAATCCCACTACAGCCCTACCACCAATCCCACGGGCGGCCCCACCACCAATCCCACGGGCAGCCCCACCACCAATCCCACTACAGCCCTACCACCAATCCCACGGTTGGTCCCACCACCAATCCCACGGGCAGCCCCACCACCAATCCCACTACAGCCCCACCACCAATCCCACTACAGCCCTACCACCAATCCCACGGTCGGCCCCACCACCAATCCCACTACAGCCTCACCGCGAATCCCACGGTCAGCCCCACCATCAGCCCCACCACCACCAATAGCCCGGGACTGGCTGCCCCACACATTCGGCCCCACCATCCCAACCCCCCACCCCGCCACCTCCCCCCATCACGCCCCAGTGGTTTGGGCCACGTGCCCCAATCCACTGCTGGATGAGGACCTCGATCGCCACTGCTGCCTGCAGCTGCACCCTCGCACAATGACGAAATGAAGGACGCCAACCCGGAGGTCAGACGCTCCGAGCTCCGTGGTTCTTTAATTTCCCCGTGTTTAGAAGAGGAGCTGGTGATGTTCTGATGACGCGTTGTGATGGTTCCACCGGTGTCTTCGAGGGGGGAGGGGAGGTGGGGGGGGTAGGGAGGAGGGGGTAGAGGAGGGTAGGGGGGGAGGGGGGAGGAGGGGGTGAGGGGTTGGAGCAGGAGGGGGGAGGAGGCGGGGTGGGAGGAGGTGTGGGAGAGGAGGGAGGACGAGGGGGGAGGAGGGGAGGGAGGAGTAGGGTAGGGGGGAAGCAGGGGGGAGGGGGATGAAGGAGGGGGAGAGGAGGGGGGGGAGAGTGGTGGGCAGGAGGGTGGGGAGAAGGGGGAGGCGGGGCAAGGGGTGGAGGAGGAGGGGGGAGGAGAGGGGTGGGGGAGGAGGGGGGGTGGGGAGGAGGGGGGGAGGTGGGGGAGGAGGGTTGTGAGAGGAGGACAGAATTAGGGTGGGAAGGGGAGAAGGAGGGGGGCGGAAGGGGGGAGGAGGAGTGGTGGAGGAGGGGGAGGAGGGTGGAGAGGAGGGGGAGGAGGGTGGGGAGGAGGGTGGGGAGGAGGGGGAGGAGGGTGGGGAGGAGGGGGATGGAGGAGGTGCGACGATGTGCGGGTCTCGAACGAACGAGGTGTTCACGACACAGTATCAAATCGTTTGCTTGCCGCGTGACGAGTGGCCGCCTGCAGGCCGGGCCGCGTGGGGAGGCGCTGCCCTCGTGCAGCGGGGTCGCGACAGACCTCGCACGGTGTCCACTCGCTCTCGTACAGGGAGGGAGGGAGAGGACGACTCACAGAGAGAGGATGACTCGGAGAGAGGGAGAGAGAGAGGATGACTCAGAGAGAGGACGACTCGGAGAGAGGACGACTCGGAGAGGACGACTCAGAGAGAGAGGGGACGACTCAAGAGAGAGGACTCAGAGAGAGGGAGAGAACGACTCAGAGGACGACTCACAGAGAGGACGACTCAAAGAGGAGAGGACGACTCTGAGAGGACGACTCACAGAGAGGACGAACACAGAGAGGACGACTCTGAGAGAGGACGACTTAGAGAGGACGACTCAGAGAGAGGGCCACTTAGAGAGAGAACGGCTCAGAGGACGACTCACAGAGAGGACGACTCACAGGGAGGACGACTCAAAGAGAGGGAGAGGACGACTCTGAAAGAGGACAACTTAGAGGGGACGACTCAGAGAGAGGACGACTTAGAGAGAGAACGACTCAGAGGACGACTCACAGAGAGGACGACTCTGAGAGAGGACGACTTAGAGGACGACTCAGAGAGAGGGCGACTTAGAGGACGACTCAGAGAGAGGACGACTCACAGAGAGGACGACTCAAAGAGAGGGAGAGGACGACTCTGAGAGAGGACGGCTCAGAGAGAGGACTTAGAGAGAGGACGACTCAGAGAGAGGACGACTCACAGAGAGGGAGAGGACGACTCTGAGAGAGGACGACTTAGAGGTGCGAGGAGGAGCCACGAGCGAGAAGGCAGCAGCAGCAACCCCGCGGTGAGACAGTGCCAACTACTGCTCAAGCTCTGCAGTTCTTCACATATTAAGATGTCTTTTCCCTCTTCAGCCAATGAAAGAGGGCTCCATGCATGTGGGAGAAACCAGAGATCCTGGGGGGCGGGGGGGGGGCTAAGAAAACAAAGATCCTCCGTATAGCCTGAACAAACTTCTGGGGCAAGTGCTGTTCGCGAGTAGCTATGAAGGCCGGCACGGTACACGAGGGGGTGAGTGTCTCTCTGTCTCTCTCTGTGTGTCTGTGTTGTCTCTCTCTCTCTGCTTGTGTGTCTGTCTGTGCCCCCCCTCCCCCCTCCGTGTCCGTGTCTTGTCTCTCTCTCCCAAATTTAGCAATCTTTGGAAGAACGCAATCAACCAGGTAGGGTGTTGACTGCTGAGTCAGCCGACTCTCTGTGTCGCATGGCATTGTATTTCGAATTCACGAGGTTTGTTTTCGACCCGATGACGATCGCTTGTGTCGCAATCGAAACGTCGCATTCCACGAGTTCATCTATTTCCTTTCCACGTGACTTTACCGAAAGAACCCAATGAGTAATGATATCCCTGCAGTCACGAAAGCTTCAAATCAAGTTCCATTAGGCTAATTGACGTCGAAAGGAGCCACCACAATTTCATTGTTTTGGAACACGGCAAAACAATTGATGGAAGAGTATTTTTTTTTAATTTGAAAAATATTTTTTTCTCATCTCCAGCTGCTTTGTGGGGTGGCGCCCTAACGCCCCCCCCTCCCCCCAGCTGAAGAACTGCGACTGATCGGAAGTCATTTGACAGAGGACGCCAGAAGTAGTTCCGTGACATCTCCTTCCGCGGGCCGTTCTGTCCAACGGGGACGGGGAGGGGTCGGGGCCACGTCGCTGCTCCGCCACCGCCAGGTTCCGAACGGAGGCGTCGTCTCCCTCGGGCGCCATCACGGCGACTGGTTCGTGACCAGGCGGTGGCTAGGAAATGTTGACTACCTCGCCTGGTGCGTAGGAGGTCCGTGGGTTCGATCTCGACGCTGGAGATGCCTGCTGCTGTATATTTGGAGGTTGTGTCTGTCGCTGTCATCGCCACGGTGGCTAAATGATAACTACCTCGCCTGGTGCGTAGGAGGTCCGTGGGTTCGATCTCGACGCTGGAGATGCCTGCTGCTGTATATTTGGAGGTTGTGTCTGTCTCTGTCATCACCACGGTGGCTAGATGTTAACTACCTCGCTGGGTATACAGGAGGTCGCGGATTCGATCTCGACCCTGACGATGCCTGCTGCTGCTGTATATTTGGAGTTTGCGTGTCTCTCTCATCATGACCACGGTGGCTAGATGTTGACTACCTCGCCTGGTGCGCAGGAGGTCCGTGTGTTCGATCCCGACCCTGACGATGCCTGCTGCTGCTGCTGCTGTATATTTGGAGTTTGCGTGTCTCTTTCTCTCTCGCATCATGACCACGGTGGCTAGGAGATGTTGACTACCTCGCCTGGTATGCAGGAGGTCCGTGGGTTCGATCCCGACCCTGACGATGCCTGCTGCTGCTGCTGTATATTTGGAGTTTGCGTGTCTCTCTCTCTCATCATGACCACGGTGGCTAGGAGATGTTGACTACCTCGCCTGGTACGCAGGAGGTCCGTGTGTTCGATCCCGACCCTGACGATGCCTGCTGCTGCTGTATATTTGGAGTTTGCGTGTCTCTTTCTCTCTCATCATGACCACGGTGGCTAGGAGATGTTGGCTACCTCGCCTGGTACGCAGGAGGTCCGTGTGTTCGATCCCGACCCTGACGATGCCTGCTGCTGCTGTATATTTGGAGTTTGCGTCTCTCTCTCTCTCTTCCTCACTCTCCCGTGGTCGCGTAGATTTCTCTCCTGGTCCTCAGGGTTTTTTTCCCCTCTCCATATTTTGAATCGACATCACCACGCGTCTTAAGAGTATTTAGCTGCGATGCATTGCCACTTGATACGCCACTAGGCTGAGCTATCGTTTGTGGTCAGGCCGCTTCTGAATAATAGCTACGTAGCTCAGTGGGTCTTACCGAAACTATTTTTTTTTATTCTAACAGGCAAGGCCCCACTGTGCTATGTAGTGGCTCTTTGTGAGAAGCGACCCTGACTAAACACAAATGATAGCTCCACGAAGTGGCTCATCAAGTGGAAATCTAAAGCAGCGAAATAATCTTAACGGATCATTCGAATTGCGGAGAAAAATCCACGCGACCGCGGGGAGAGAGAGAGAGAGAGACGCAGACTACAAATATACAGCAGGAGGCGTAAGGGTCAGGATGGAACCCAACCACAACCTCCTGTACACCAGGCGAGGTAGTCAACATCTCCTAGCCACTGTGGTGACGACGATGATGGTGAGACAGAGAGACACGCAGACTCCAAATATACAGCAGGAGGCGTCAGGGTCAGGATGGAACCCAACCACAACCTCCTGTACACCAGGCGAGGTAGTCAACATCTCATAGCCACCGTGGCGCAGAGATTGGGGAGAGGGAACCATAACGATGAACATCCAGCAGTGGTTGTGGTGGTCGCTGTTGCGGTGGTAGTGAAACAGAGAGAGAGAGAGACGCAAACTCCAAATACACAGCAGGCGTCACGGTCGGAATCGAACCCACGCGCGACCTCCTGTACACCAGGCGAGGTAGTCAACATCTCCCAGCCACCGTGGCGCGCCCCCTACAATAATTATCAGGCGGTGGCCGCAGGTCGTTGAACTTTTCCGCACCGCACCGCACCGCATCGGCGCCGCCGTGCCAGTCAGCGGGGGCCGCCCCCCCCCCCCCCCGCCACACTCACCGCAGCTAGCAGAGCGATGAGGAGGAGCGGGACGAGAGTGGCGGTGACCTGCCCGACGTTCCGCTCCATCTCTTCCCCAGGGGGGCGGGGGGGGGGGTGGGTTGGTTGGTTGGTTGGTTGGGGGTTTGTACTTTTTGAAGCACAGCAGAAAATGAAATTAAAAACGCGGTGGTCACGCGCTGGGGTGACAAAAAAAATCCTCCTGCTCCTGCTCCTCCTCCTCCTCCCGGAGAGGGGGGCCGCGTTCGTAAACTCGCCGGCGTCGTCGGAGAGAAAGGGAGAGTCGCTCGATGCGGCGGACGACGCGAGAGGTTGTGTGGACAGGCCGGACGATAGAACGCGGGGGGGGGCTGGGTGAGCGGGGGGGGGGTGAGTTGGGGGAGGGGGGTGAGTTTGGGGGTGGGGGGCGAGTTCGAGGCCCCGGCGTCCCAAGTTAATCGCGGCACTTTGTTGCTTCAACAAACAGCGACAAGGTGGCGCTCGACGTTTTTTTGTAATTAGCGAGGGCGACTCGCACTCCCCCGCGCGTTGACTCCCCTTCTTCACCTCTCGACTCCTCTCTCTCTCTCTCTCTCCCCATCATCCATCACGCGCCTCTCACTCTCTCATTCACCCTCCCTCACTCTCAGAAAAAAACGAGAAGATGCTCGGTGTAGTCGGCACTTTGATTCGTTCATCATTTCGGTTTTTTTTCATGCTTTGCTTTATGTAACCCCCCCCCCCCCCCCACTTTTTAAATGAAAGATTTAACAAAATATTTCTCGCACTGCTCCCCTTCCCTCTCTCTCTCTACCCCCCCTCTCTGCCCCCCCCCCTCTCTCTCAACCCCCTCTCTTCATACTCCATGTCGCTCTCTTTTTTTTTTTACGATCAGAAGAAACAACAAGATGCTAATCGGGGGTGCGGTGGTGGGGGGGGGGGGGGGGGGCACCAAAGAGAGAGACGAGTCCGCAAAATCCAGACGACGGTTTAAGAGCGCACGGCTCCAGGCGCCTTCCTCACGCCGGCGGGGAAGAGAGCGTTCCAGACGGCCGCGGAAGCGCTTTCCGAGAGCGCCGCCCGACGGCTCCCCGACGGGATTCAACGCGGGTGCCGTGGGTTGTTGGGTGTCCTCCAGCCAAAAAGGCCGCTCCCGCCGCTGCTACCGCCTCGACGCGGGGGACACGGGGGACGACGAGGTCGGAACGCCACACCCAAGCGAGTTTATTTGCAGTTTTCCGAACAAGCGCGGCTCCGTGTCGCCCGCGCGCGGCAGCCCCGCTCCACCACTCCGCAGCACACACGACACGCGTGTTCAAACACGCACACAACACACGTGCAAACCGCACACGCGTGGCAAGGGCAAAGCCCCCCCCCCCCCCCCCGTATAGCCTGAACAGACTGTTGGGGAAAGTGCCGGTAGCTCCCTGTGAAACGGCGATGTTCACTCCACACAGCACCAGGTACCGGTTTGAGGCCGAGTCGGCCGGGTACCTGGGATGCGTGGGGGGCCGCGGCGATCGTTGAAGATCTCTCCGTCGAAACCCGGCGTGCGATTTGCGCGTGAGCGAGCGCACCGCACCGCACCGCACGGCACCGCACCGCACCACACCGCACCGCACCGCACCGCCCGCACCGCACCGCACCGCACCGCTCGTTGTTTGTGCGCTTTGCGTGCGAGCTCTGACGTGGGGGTCCCGTGTAAACGATTCGTCGGCGTCACTCTCATTAGTTTGCGCCACCACCACCACCACCGCCACCACCGCCACCACCACCACCACCACCACCGCCACCACCGCCACCACCACCACCACCACCACCGCCGCCACCGCCGCCACAGCGAGGGTCTTGGGCCGCGGTCGTCCTGGCAACGGGACCGCATAGATCCAACGGTGCCGTGCCGGCTGCGAAAAAGTCCCAAGTCCACGAGCGCCCACGGCAACGCGATGTCTCTCTGATGCAACTCCGTGCAACTGCAGTGCCCAGTAACCGCGACCCCTGCCGACGGGTCTCGGGCTGCGGGCATCCTTGCCTATCGCCCCCCCCACATCCCCCACCCACCCCCTCACCCCCCCTCCACCCCCGCCCCCCCCCCCCCCCTAGCCGTTGTATCTTCTTGGGTCAACAATGAACGCGCGAGTCCACCCGTGCGGCGGCGTTGGCCGACTCGGGAATCACCGGCGCCTTTTCCCAAAATCTTCGTCGTCGCCGCGGGCCTCCCCGCCGTCGTCACCGCCATCATCACCACCACCGTCGTCACCGCCACCGTCGTCACCGCCATCATCACCGCCACCGTCATCACCACCATCGTCGTCGTCACCACCACCACCGCCGGTCTCCCACCGTCGTCACCGCCACCGTCGTCACCGCCATCATCACCACCACCGTCGTCACCACCACCGTCATCACCACCACCGTCGTCACCACCGCCATCATCACCACCCCGCCGGTCTCCCGCCGTCATCACCACCGCCGTCGTCACCACCACCGCCGTCGTCACAAAGTGGAGGAGGAGCCCCTCTTTGGACCAGCGGGGATCGGCCCAAACTGCGAGGGAGGCCACACCTAGCGGGGGGGGGGGGGGGGGAGGGGGGGGGGGGGTCACTGCCGGCAGCGGCCATCTCGCCGGACGTGCCGGCTGATTAAACAAAACCAACGCAGCGCTCCGCCGCCCTCCTCCGTCGCTCCGCCGGAGTCAGACGGCGTGGGGGAGGGCCACGGAGCCACGCGGACACCGTCACGGACACCACTCACTCAGTGGCCCACAACAACCCCCCCCCCCCTCCTCCTCCCCCTCCTCTACCCCCTCCTCTACCCCCCTCCTCTACCCCCTCCACCCCCTCCTCCTCCTCCACCCCCTCCTCCCTCCCTCCTCCCCATCCCCCTCCTCCACCCTTCTTCTCCACCCCCTCCTCACCCTCCACCCCCTCCACCCCCTCCTCCCCATCCCCCTCCTCCTCACGCCTCCGAGTCGTCCCCTCTCTATCCCTCTCCCTCCGTCACCTCTGACGCTACGAGCAAGCGAATGAGCGATTGAGGGAGCGAGTGAGCGAGTGAGGGAGCGAGTGAGCGATTGAGGGAGCGAGGGAGCGAGTGAGTGAGTGAGCGAGGGAGCGATTGAGGGAGCGAGAAAGCGAGTGAGCGAACGAGTGAGTGAGCGAATGAGCGAGTGAGTGAGCGAATGAGCGAGTGAGTGAGCGAATGAGCGAGTGAGTGAGCGAATGAGCGAGTGAGGGAGCGAATGAGCGAGTGAGTGAGTGAGCGAGGGAGCGATTGAGGGAGCGAGAAAGCGAGTGAGCGAACGAGTGAGTGAGCGAATGAGCGAGTGAGTGAGCGAATGAGCGAGTGAGTGAGCGAATGAGCGAGTGAGTGAGCGAATGAGCGAGTGAGGGAGCGAATGAGCGAGTGAGGGAGCGAATGAGCGAGTGAGGGAGCGAGTGAGCGATTGAGGGAGCGAGAGAGCGAGTGAGCGAGTGAGCGAGGGAGCGAATGTGCGAGTGAGGGAGCGAGTGAGCGAATGAGCGAGTGAGCGAATGAGGGAGCGAGAAAGCGAGTGAGCGAGTGAGGGAGCGAGTGAGCGAGGGAGCGAGGGAGTGAGCAAGCGACCGAGCGAGTGAGTGAGCGAGTGAGCGAGTGAGCGAATGAGCTAGTGATGGAGCGAGCGAATGAGCGACCGAGCGAGTGAGCGATTGAGGGAGCGAGTGAGTGAGCGAGCGAATGAGGGAGCGAGCGAGCGAGCGAATAAGCGAGCGAGCGAGCTGACCCCCGCGCGGCGTCCCGACTCAGCGTCGTCGACATTCCCATTTGCTTGTGCAAGGGATGAGGGGTGGGGGGGGGAGGGGAGCGCCCCCGCTCTGTGCCACGTGGCGCCGTCGCAAACCCCCCCCCCCACCCCCCCCCCCCCCCCCACAGCGAGCTGGAGGGCACCTTGAGGCAGACGCGGCCTCGGATGAGCGCGTAGGGCACGGGGCCGTAGGACCGCGAGTCGGTCGAGTTGGCCGCATTGTCGCCCTCTAGCCACACGTGGCCCAGCGGAACCTGCGGGCAGCACGGGGGAAGGGAGGTCGGAGGATGGGTTCACCCCACGGCGTGTGGCCTGATACCCAGCACACACGCGCCGGGCCGCACCGCGCCCACAACCCACCCAGCCACAACCCACCCAGCCACAACCCACCCACCCATCCGCACCGCGAAGACAAAGATCCCCCGTGTAGCCTTAGCAGACTGTTGGCGGCAAGTGCTGTTAGCGAGCACCTATGAAGGCCGGTAACGGTACACGAGGGGGTGGGTGGCCAGCACCACGCCCGGCCGCCTTTGTCTCCCCAGTGGCGATGTTTACTACACACCGCACCAGGTACTCACTTGAGGCCGAGTCGACGTAGCGGAGGCCCGGGACCGGTTCAGATAATCGTCACCGGTGTTGGCCGCGAGCGGGAATCGAACCCGGGTCGCCAGGGTTCATAGCGCAGCGTAGCGCTAACCCGCTACACCACCGCTCCCCACCCACCCACACCACACTCCCACCCACCTCCCACCCCCCACCCACCCACACCCCCCCCATGCGTGCTCACGTATCGGCTGGAGTGGTGGGGCAGCCGCTTGTTCAGTGCGTCCCCCGGCAGGGCCACGACCCTCTTGCAGATGAAGGTGCGGGGGTTGGCGGGGTTCCTCGCGATCACCACGTCGCCCCTGCACGCACGGACGCCACCGGCTCGCGTTGGTCAACGCAGCGTCGCCGCAAGGTTGGGCGCGCACCGTGTCACGCGCGGAGCCCGGCTATTTGGGGGGCAGGGGTGGTGGGGGGGTGGAGGGGGGGGGGAGCGGAACCCTAAAACTGAGAACAACTGAGAAAGTGAAATCTGAATTCCTGTAGCTCGAGGAGTGATCGGCGTGCCAAGTTTGGGCTCACAGTCTCCTCCCTGCCCACCGTCCCCTCCCTCCCCCACCCAGCCTCGCGTCTCCGCGCTCTCCCTCGCTCCGCCCCGGCTCCGTCTCCACGCGTCGCCGCCGTCGCCGCCGTCGCCGCCGTCGCCGGCTTTGTTACCGTCGACATCCGTCACCGTTCGCGAACGCGTTCGTCGCAAACGGTCGCGTCCAGCAGCAATTTTAATTCCTTTAAACGAGCGCCGTCGCACGCGCGCGGACCCTTCAGCTCCGCCCGGCGGCCCCACGGGAAAACAATTCCTCGGGGAGCGTTTTCGAAACCACCGCTAGACCACGGCCGGGGGAGGACCCGCGGCTCCGCACGCGGTCGGAAGCCGGCCGGCAAGCGGCCGGGCAGGCGGGCGGGCGGGCGGGCGGGCGGGCGGGGAATCTACCGGGGAGGGCCGGGAGGTGCGGCTCACCGCCTGATGCGACCCAGGTGACGGCTGAAGTGCTCCGCCAACACCACGTCGTTGGTGTAGAGGCTGGGCTGCATGGACGGTCCGCTGCACTGCAAGAGCACGCGGAGCTGAACGTCATCCTCACCCCTAACCCTTTGGGTTATTCCGGTAAAAGGTCACGCAGGTTAGACAAAATAACGGATCGCGACGTTTCGATCAGGAGCACCTTCGTCAGGCGGGACAGATGCAGGAGGAGAACTGCTGACAGGGTGCCCGATGACGGTCGCTTGTCTGATCTATCATGCTGCGACTTTACAGAAAAAAAACAAAGAGTATGGATTCCTGCAGTCATTGAGAGCTTCAAATCAAGATTGGATCTCACCCCACCGCCAAACCCCCCCCCCCCCACGCCACCTCCGTACGGCCTCGGGGCAAGCGCTGTTCACGAGAGGGCCGGACCGGCACGGGAGGGGGGGGTGGGGTGGCCGGCGCCACGCCCGGCCGCCTTTGTCTCCCCGGGTGGCGATGTTTACGTAGCACAGCACCCCAACCACTGCGCTACCGCTCGCTCGTCTACACAAGCAGCGGCGGTGGCTGACTCACCACGACCAGCTCCATCCCCACGTACTCACTCACCACTACCAGCTCCACCACCACGTACTCACCACCACGAGCTCCACCACCACATACTCACTCACCACCGCCAGCTCCACCCCCACGTACTCACTCACCACCACCAGCTCCACCACCACGTACTCACTCACCACTACCAGCTCCACCACGTACTCACTCACCACCACCAGCTCCACCCCCACGTACTCACTCACCACCACCAGCTCCACCACCACGTACTCACTCACCACCACCAGCTCCACCACCACGTACTCACTCACCACCACCAGCGCCACCCCCACGTACTCACTCACCACCACCAGCTCCACCACGTACTCACTCACCACTACCAGCTCCACCACGTACTCACTCACCACCACCAGCTCCCCCACCACGTACTCACTCACCACCACCAGCTCCACCCCCACGTACTCACCACCACCAGCTCCCCCACGTACTCACTCACCACCACCAGCTCCCCCACGTACTCACTCACCACCACCAGCTCCCCCACGTACTCACTCACCACCACCAGCTCCCCCCCCATGTACTCACTCACCACCACCAGCTCCCCCACGTACTCACTCACCACTACCAGCTCCCCACACGTACTCACTCACCACCACCAGCTCCCCCACCACGTACTCACTCACCACCACCAGCTCCCCCACGTACTCACTCACCACCACCAGCTCCCCCACGTACTCACTCACCACCACCAGCTCTCCCACGTACTCACTCACCACCACCAGCTCCCCCACGTACTCCAGAGTGCAGTGCGCCACGCAGCCATACTGCACGGCGCAGCCCAGGACGCCCAGCGCCCGCAGCAGCCGGCCCGGCCACATGACGCTCGCCGCTCGGCTCGCCGCTCGGCACGCCGCTCCGTTCGCCCCACCCGGTGGGTTGGCGCAGGGCCCGGCGTTCAGCGGCGGGCGGTTGGCACAACGGCGAGGAAGAGCTCCACGGTCGGCGTGACGGCCCGCTGGCGAACGGGCAAAGGCGTCAAAAAAGAAGCGTCCCTATAGAACAGAATGTCATCCCTCCCGAAAACGCCCAAAAAATTGGGAAGCTTTTTGGTTTTGTTTTTGCCGGCATCGAAACGTGCAAACAAACACGTGGCTCCGATAGTGGCATGGTCCTTGTACTGGTCGCCTTTTTCGCGTCGTCCTCTGGTCCGACACTGGCGGTGAGACTGGGCCATAGAGAAGGCAAATCAGTTTTTTTTAAAAAAAACAACGCCCGTGTATAATGATCACGGCCATATTCTTGGTTCCCTTCTACGTGGTGACTTTACCGAAAGAAGCAAGAATATGAATCCCTGCAGTTACATAATGTGTAACACGTGCCTTGCTAACACACTCATACACAATGTGTAACACGTGCCTCACTAACACACACTCATACACAATGTGTAACACGTGCCTTACTAACACACATACACAATGTGTAACACGTGTCTTACTAACACACATACACAATGTGTAACACGTGCCTGACTAACACACACTCATACACAATGTGTAACACGTGCCTTACTAACACACTCATACACAATGTGTAACACGTGCCTCACTAACACACACTCATACACAATGTGTAACACGTGCCTCACTAACACACACATACACAATGTGTAACACGTGCCTGACTAACACACACTCATACACAATGTGTAACACGTGCCTTACTAACACACATACACAATGTGTAACACGTGCCTCACTAACACACACACAATGTGTAACACGTGCCTCACTAACACACACTCATACACAATGTGTAACACGTGCCTCACTAACACACACATACACAATGTGTAACACGTGCCTGACTAACACACACTCATACACAATGTGTAACACGTGCCTTACTAACACACTCATACACAATGTGTAACACGTGCCTTACTAACACACACATACACAATGTGTAACACGTGCCTCACTAACACACACAATGTGTAACACGTGTCTTACTAACACACATACACAATGTGTAACACGTGCCTCACTAACACACACAATGTGTAACACGTGCCTCACTAACACACACATACACAATGTGTAACACGTGCCTCACTAACACACACAATGTGTAACACGTGCCTCACTAACACACACATACACAATGTGTAACACGTGCCTCACTAACACACACAATGTGTAACACGTGCCTCACTAACACACACATACACAATGTGTAACACGTGCCTCACTAACACACTCATACACAATGTGTAACACGTGCCTCACTAACACACATACACAATGTGTAACACGTGCCTCACTAACACACATACACAATGTGTAACACGTGCCTGACTAACACACACTCATACACAATGTGTAACACGTGCCTTACTAACACACTCATACACAATGTGTAACACGTGCCTTACTAACACACACATACACAATGTGTAACACGTGCCTCACTAACACACACAATGTGTAACACGTGTCTTACTAACACACATACACAATGTGTAACACGTGCCTCACTAACACACACAATGTGTAACACGTGCCTCACTAACACACACATACACAATGTGTAACACGTGCCTCACTAACACACACAATGTGTAACACGTGCCTCACTAACACACACATACACAATGTGTAACACGTGCCTCACTAACACACACAATGTGTAACACGTGCCTCACTAACACACACATACACAATGTGTAACACGTGCCTCACTAACACACTCATACACAATGTGTAACACGTGCCTTACTAACACACATACACAATGTGTAACACGTGCCTCACTAACACACATACACAATGTGTAACACGTGCCTCACTAACACACACACATACACAATGTGTAACACGTGCCTTACTAACACACTCATACACAATGTGTAACACGTGCCTTACTAACACACACATACACAATGTGTAACACGTGCCTGACTAACACACATACACAATGTGTAACACGTGCCTTACTAACACACATACACAATGTGTAACACGTGCCTCACTAACACACACAATGTGTAACACGTGCCTCACTAACACACATACACAATGTGTAACACGTGCCTCACTAACACACACAATGTGTAACACGTGCCTCACTAACACACACATACACAATGTGTAACACGTGCCTCACTAACACACACAATGTGTAACACGTGCCTCACTAACACACACATACACAATGTGTAACACGTGCCTCACTAACACACATACACAATGTGTAACACGTGCCTTACTAACACACATACACAATGTGTAACACGTGCCTCACTAACACACACAATGTGTAACACGTGCCTCACTAACACACATACACAATGTGTAACACGTGCCTCACTAACACACACAATGTGTAACACGTGCCTTACTAACGCAACACCCTCAACTCCACTGCCGGACTACCGGCAATGCACCGGTGGCTGCGGCCTAGCACACCCAGCGAAGCCTGCCGCGCCCGCCGATTAGCGCGTCGCGGATCCGGCAGTCCGTCCAGGCGAGGCGTGGTGGAGGGGGAGCGGGTGCGCTGCTGCGGCGGCGGTGGTGGTGGATGTAGCGGCACCGCAGCTAGCCCGGTGGGTGGCACCGCAACGTGCCCGGTGACCCACGGGGGTAGTCACCGTGGCCCTGGCGACGGAGACTTCCTCACACCCCCCCGCCTTCCGCGTGGCAAGCTGCAGGCTGCAGTTCGCGTTGACTCCGCCGGGTGGCGCTGCGGTGCAACAAGCCGACCGCCACGATATCGATATTCAATTTATTAAAAAAAATAAGAAACTTAAATACTATATTCTTAGTTCTTTCGGTAAAGTCACGCTTAAGGGAAACAATAAAATAACAAAATATATATTTAAATAATAATATATAAATATATATTTCATTATTTCATTGCTTCCCTTCAACGTGACTTTACCGAAAGAGCTAAGAATATGAATTACTGCAGTCAAGAAAACTTTAAATAAAAACTTAAATACTCTTTGGTTCTTTAGGTAAAGTCGCAAGGCCGTAATTATAATATATATTGGGGTGGGGGGACACACCCCCCCCAAATATATATTCCAATATGCTCAAAATGTCCCCCCCCCCAATATATTGCCGTAAAAAATTGCTATGCTATGTAAATGAAAACAACGATTTGCTAAACCTTGGCCACAATATTTGGACTTGTCTTCATATAAATCAACGCATAGATTTCTGTTTATATGATTGTGGTTACGGTTGTACTTTATTAATCCCTAATCTCTGCCATTACATGCAAATGAAACAATAAATGGTTAAAAACACCCGGTAAAAACAGAGCAATGTAATACAATAACACTGTTAGACATTATTGTAAAAAAAATAGATCAAAAGTCCATCCCATGTGTGAATTTTTTTTTAATATTTTAGGCAGGAAATGAGTTTTCAAATTTAGATATTTTTCTGGGTTGGGACCCCCCCAGACACCCGTGAAGATTTGCCCCTCCCCCCAATGTTGACTCCATGGCTATGGCCTTGCACGTAGGCATGAAATAAAATAACTCGGGTGATGACGGACGGTGATGACGGACGCTTGTTGTGTCGCGCCCGAAACGTCGTGATTTATTTTATTTTTCTACCCACGTGGACTTTACCGAAAGGATCAAAGAGCGTGGATTCCTGCAGTCCACGAAAGCTTCAGATCAGGAGGAAAGAAACCTTTAAATCTTGACTTGAAGCTTTCGTGACTGCAGGAATTCATTCTCTGTGGGTCTGTCGGTAAAAAAACTAGATTTTGGTGCTTTCGTGACCCGCAGGAGATGCTCTTTGTTTTTTTCGGTAAAGTCACGTAGAAATAAGACGTGATAAAGTAACATAATACCATACTAATACCATACGACGTTTCGATTGCAACACAAGCAATCTTCATCAGGTACAGAAGAGCTAAATTTAAGAGAGAGAGAGAGGAAACACATGACCGCAGTTATATATACAGGCACCCAAATAGAGGGAATTAACAGATACACAAGGGGATACAAAGACGGAGGAGCACACTAAATCAAACAGGGTTTAGCAAAATTTATAAACTATATAAAGCAACACAGACGGTCGGTCAAAACACAATTAACGCATGGTCTGGTTGAATATGTTATTTCAAAGATTGCTAAATTATAAGTTAAGTGTGAAATCCAAGAGAGTGCTGGAAAACAGACCGCATACACATATACACATATATCGACATGCATACACATATATCGACATGTCTTATTTCTGTCGGTAAAGTCACGTGGATAGAACAATAATAAAATAAAGTCGACGTGCCTTTACCGAAAGACCCAAAGAGTAATAAGGTTACAACATAATATGTTTTGGTTCCTGGGTAGTAAGTGTTATTTCTTAATTGCTTATGCCTCAAAAATAGAGAAAGTGACTATTATTCCCTACAATATTTGTGGTTCTGACCAGGACAGTGATATTTTGACCTTTACCTATTTTCAATGAGAAAACGGGCGAATTTGTGCTTTTTTCGTTCACATAAAGTCAGAAAAAAACAACATACGAATCAAAATTAACGTATTTTTATACGAAAGTAATTCAACAATTACGACAAAAGATTTAGAAGTGAGTAGTTTTTCGAGATTTACGCAGTGTTTGTGTTACATAGATACTAATCTGTGTCTCATTGAGCTCTTGGAATATTTTCTTGTCAGTATCAAAATATAATAATAGGGTCTTACGCGTTCTGGCAATAAACGTACCACAAGTTACCAGATATTTCCACAGGTAGGTGCAGTGCCGGATGAAGCTAGTGAGGGGCCTGTAGGATATGTTATTAAGGGTGCCCTAAATAAACAAAAACACAAATATTAAAACACAATTTTTTCACTTGCATAGTAAAGTAATTGTATTTTTTTCATTCGCTATACAGCCCAGATAATACGACAAATCGCTAACCTTAAACACCCGGTCGTTCATAAAAGTTGAAGGGCAGTATAGTACTATAGTAATAGAGCAAGTGCGGAATCACTGAACCGGAATTGATAGTTTATTCTTGGGACTTTCGGTAAAGTTACGTAGATAGGTTCAAATTGATAGCTTGAAATCATTTAGCGCGGGGCCCTTGAAAGTGCGGGGCCCATAGCATATGTAGCTGCTACACGTGTTGTAGCTACTACACGTGTTGTAGCTACTACACGTGTTGTAGCTACTAAACACATTCCTGTTGAGGGAGCTGGTAGGAACGTTGGGTTGCTCGGTCAATGGCCAGAGTCAACGGCGGCACCACCACGTGGTGTGTTCAGCACAATATGCCCGACTGTGAGGGCGGGCACAAGCCGGCGTGAGTAGGTTAAACGTTGAGTTTTATAAGGGCACCACGGGGTGACCAGCCCCTCCCCACCCAGCCCCACCCAGCCCCCCCCCTCCCAACCCAGCCCCACCCTCCCCACCCTCCCCACCCTCCCCTCTCCACCCAGCCCCACCCCTCCCATTTTTGGATGCACGACGGACGGACGGAGACAATAATCCCCTGTGGGCTGGTGGTGTAACCAGGAGGTTCCTACCAGTAAACAAAGTGCCTGTGGCTTTGGCCGACGGAGCGTGTATTTGCCCATGTATGGGTACTCCTGATGGTGAATCATGATCAAATATGTTACGATTCCAGCTCAGTTGATCCATAAGAAAGAACCCATCAAAAAAATATACTGGGGTCAATCGATAACGCTGCGGCGTTAATCGGCGAGTCGATTTCCTTTTGCCAATCGATACGTGGATCGAGTAATGATTTTTTTTTTAAATTGGCTAATATCGTCAGCAAAGGTGACGTGAATATGTCGTGTCGTGAAACCCGCCGCCACCACCCGACACACTCATCCAAGGCCGTAGACATGGAGTCAACATTGGGGGGGACCAAATCTGCCTGGGGGTCTGGGGGTCCCCCCCCCCCCAGAAAAAAATCTAAATTTAAAAACTAATTTCCTGCCATTTCCTGCCTAAAATATTTAAAAAATTCGCTAACACGTAGGATGTACTTTTTATTTATTTTTTTACAATTATGTCTAATAGTGTATTGTATTTACATTGCTCTGTTTTTTTATATTTTACCTTTTCTTGTTTCATGGTATGTAATGGCAGAGATTAGGGATTCATAAAGTAACAACCGTAACCACAATCATATAAACAGAAATACATTTTATAGCAATATATTGGGGGGGGGGACAATTTGAGCATATTTGAATATTGGGGATGTGTCCCCCCCGCCCGACCCCCAATATATATTATAATTACGGCCTTGCACACATCCAATTGATAAAGGTTGTGTCACGTAAACAAAACGTGGCCAATTCGTTACCAGTACAGCACCATGCCACTTGCTGCGTGTTGGAGAAGAGGTCGTGGGTTTCTATCTCGACCCTGACGATGCCTGCTGCTGCTGTATATTTGGAGTTTGCGTGTCTCTCTCTCATCATCATCACGGTGGCTAGGAGATGTTGACTACCTCGCCTGGTACGCAGGAGGTCCGTGGGTTTCTATCTCAACCCTGACGATGCCTGCTGCTGCTGTATATTTGGAGTTTGCGTGTCTCTCTCTCTCTCTCATCATCATCATCACCACGGTGGCTAGGAGATGTTGACTACCTCGCCTGGTATGCAGGAGGTCCGTGGGTTTCTATCTCGACCCTGACGATGCCTTCTGCTGCTGTATATTTGGAGTTTGCGTCTTTCTCTCTCATCATCATCACGGTGGCTATGAGATGTTAACTACCTCGCCTGGTCTACAGGAGGTCGTGGGTTTCTATCTCGACCCTGACGCCTGCTGCTGCTGTATATTTGGAGTTTGCGTGTCTCTCTCTCTCTCATCATCATCACGGTGGCTAGGAGATGTTGACTACCTCGCCTGGTACGCAGGAGGGCCGTGGGATTCTATCTCGACCCTGACGATGCCTGCTGCTGCTGTATATTTGGAGTTTGCGTGTCTCTCTCTCTCTCTCATCATCATCATCACCACGGTGGCTAGGAGATGTTGACTACCTCGCCTGGTATACAGGAGGTCGTGGGTTTCTATCTCGACCCTGACGATGCCTGCTGCTGCTGTATATTTGGAGTTTGCGTGTCTCTCTCTCTCTCATCATCATCACGGTGGCTAGGAGATGTTGACTACCTCGCCTGGTACGCAGGAGGGCCGTGGGATTCTATCTCGACCCTGACGATGCCTGCTGCTGCTGTATATTTGGAGTTTGCGTGTCTCTCTCTCTCTCATCATCATCACGGTGGCTAGGAGATGTTGACTACCTCGCCTGGTGTACAGGAGGTCGTGGGTTTCTATCTCGACCCTGACGCCTGCTGCTGCTGTATATTTGGAGTTTGCGTGTCTCTCTCTCATCATCACCACGGTGGCCACGAGATGTTGACTACCTCGCCTGGTACGCAGGAGGTCCGTGGGTTCGATCCCGACCCTGGCGATGCCTGCTGCTGCTGTATCGTTGGAGTTTGCGTGTCTCTCTCCCTGTGACAAGATGTTAACTACCTTGCCTGGTATACAGAAGGTCGTGGGTTCCATGCCGACCCTGACGATGCCTGCTGCTGCTGTATATTTGGAGTTTGCTTGTCTCTCTCTTTCTCTCCGTGGTCGCGTGGATTTCTCTCCGGCTCATCCGCCCTTTTCCCTCCGCATTCAGAATCAACATCCACGCAGTTCAGAGTATTTGGCTGCGGCGCATTTCCACGTGGTGATGATATTAGCCGATTCGGTGAGCTATCCATGT